TTTTTTTTTTTTTTTTTTTTTTTTTTTTTTTTGGTTTCTCCTCTAATGGGAATGTTGTTTTAATGTCGACGGATTTCTTTTGTAGGTGGACTTGGTGGGAGGGTACTACGACGCTGGTGACAATGTGAAATTTGGGCTGCCAATGGCTTTCACTGTCACCATGATGAGTTGGAGCATTTTGGAATACAAGGCCCAATTGGCCGGCAGTGGGGAGCTTGGCCATGCCATGGATGCTGTCAAATGGGGCACTGATTATTTCATCAAGGCTCACCCTGAACCCAATGTTCTATACGGCGAGGTGATAATTTTCTCCTTTACCCAATATGTTGTGACTTGAAGGCGTGGTGTTAATGTTTGTGGATTTTTGTTTCTAAGGTTGGAGATGGGAACACTGATCACTATTGCTGGCAGCGTCCCGAGGATATGACGACCGACCGCCGTGCTTACCGGCTTGACCCGAGTAACCCCGGGTCGGATCTTGCCGGAGAAACTGCTGCCGCCATGGCCGCCGCTTCTCTCGTCTTTCGCTCTTCTAACCCCGCTTATGCTAACAAACTTCTCTCCCATGCCTACCAGGTAAGATGAGGCTCTGTTTTCAATTATAATAATGAAATGTTAATTGAAAATAATAATAATAATAATTAAGAAAAATTCAAATTTCAATTCCGCACGTGGAAAAGCGAAAGTACGATACGACGTAGTTTTGGTTTTATTCCAATTAGTTTAAAATGTTCGGCGCATATTTAGGATCATGGTTACAAACCGTACACGTAGTTTTAAATAATGCGATTCCGTGATGACAACCGTTCATTTCACATGATCCAAGAAAGACGCGCGAAGCTTACGGTAGTCGTGGAAGTACGGTGTCGGTGGCACTGTGTGTTTTACCTTAATGCCCTCACTATTTATTTTTTTATTAAAATAAAATATAACCTTGTTCTGTTTCATTGGCATTTTCAGCTGTTCGATTTTGCGAACAAATACAGGGGTAAATATGACAGTAGTATTACAGTAGCCCAGAAGTACTACCGATCTGTCAGTGGATACAATGTACGTGATTATTCCTCTTCTCTTATTTTTATTGGGCTTGGGCTTGGGCTTGGGCCCAAACGAACAATTTTGATTGAATAAAATTTTACAGGACGAGTTACTATGGGCGGCGGCATGGCTGTACCAAGCAAGCAACAACCAATACTACCTGAAATACCTCGCCGACAACGGCGATTCCATGGGTGGCACCGGCTGGAGCATGACGGAGTTCAGTTGGGACGTCAAATACGCCGGAGTCCAAACCCTAGTCGCCAAAGTAAAACCCTAATTTCTCCAAATTACACCAAATTTTTCCTCTTTTCTTTCCCTAATCTAATCCTCTGGTATCCTTCTTCCTCCTCTCGCAGTTCCTCATGCAGGGGAAGGCCGGCGCCTACGCTCCAGTTTTCCGGCGATACCAGGAGAAAGCCGAAGCATTCCTTTGTTCGTGTTTAAGAAAAGGGAATCGGAACGTTCAGGTTACCCCCGGCGGTCTCATTTTCCGGCAAAGATGGAACAATATGCAGTTTGTCACCACCGCCTCCTTCGTCGCCACCGTCTATTCTGATTACCTGACCTCGTCCCGTGGTTCCTTGAAATGCCCTGCCGGCTATGTCCGACCCTCTGAATTACTCACCTTTGCTAAATCTCAGGTATGTTTGTTTTTTTTTTTTTTTTTTT